CTTGGTAGCCCAGGCTGGCCTCGAACTCACAGAGATCCGCCTGGCTCTGCCTCCCGAGTGCTGGGATTAAAGGCGTGCGCCACCACCGCCCGGCTTAATTGATTTTTTTAAAGACCAGTCCTGTTTAGTTCTACCCTAGATCTGTTGGCTACCCAGTCTCTGGTTCCTGGCCAGCCAACCAGTGTCTGGCATGGACTTCCTCTCCTCGAGTGGCCTCAAGTTATATCAGACATTGGTTGGTCACTTCCACACGTTCTCCAGCATCGTTGCTCCAGCACATCCTGCAGGCAAGATGTAGGTCAAAGGTTTCATGGTTGGATTGGTGTCCAGGTTTCTCTTTTGGTGAGAAGGTGCTCCTCCGGTGCTTGCAGAGTACCTTTCCATACCAAAGAGACTAGAATGTGGGGATGAAGGCTCCATGCAGGCACCAGCTTGACCTCTCCACATTCAGTGAGTTGTGGATGTTGTCCTCAGCAATGGGGCCCCTCTGTCGGTTTCAGACAACATCCGTCTGTCCTAGCATCAGCCTTGGTTGTTTGGGGATCTCCATGGACCACTTTGACCAACAATTCAACTGAATGGAACCTAGTCCCACCACTGGGAGCTTGCCCGGCTACAAGAGATGGCCAGTTCAGACTCTGTATATCCCCCATTACTAGAAGTTCTCACTAGATCATCTTCATAGTTTTCAGGAAGTATCCACTGTGCTAGATTCCACACCATCCCCCAAATGCAACCAAATTCCAGCTGTCTCTCCCTGAACTCTCTCCCTCTATCCCAGCCTCTCTGATCTGAACTCTCCCTCTCCCATTCCCATCCATCCCAGTCTACCTTCAAAATCTATTTCCTCTTCCCAGAGAGATCCATATGCCCCACTTAGAGCCTTCCTCTTCACCTAACATCTCTAGGTCTATGAATTGTAGCTTGATTATCATTTACATAATGGCTAATATTGACTTATAAGTGAATACATACCATAATTGTCTTTCTGGATTACCTCATTCAGGATGATTTTTTCTAGTTCCATCCATTTGCCTGCAAATTTCATGATGTCATTTTTTTTTTAAACAGATGAAAAATACTCCATTATGTAAATATACCACTTTTTCTTTATCCATTCTTTGGTTGAGGGACATCTAGGTTGCTTCCAGTTTCTGGCTGTTATGCATAAAGCTGCAATGAGCATAGCTGAGCAAGTGTCTTCGTGGTAGAATGGAGTGTCCTTTGGGTATATGCCCAAGAGGTATAGCTGGGTGTTTTAAATGTGTGCTATCTTGCCTAGAATTTTTTGTTTTGAGATGGCCTTTTTTTTTCTTTTCTTTTTTTCTTTTTTTTCCCCTGGAGCTGAAGACCGAACCCAGGGCCTTGTGCTTGCTAGGCAAGCGCTCTACCACTGAGCTAAATCCCCAACCCTGAGCTGGGTCTTGAGGTAGAGTGATTCCCAATTTTCTGCTGAACCTCCATATTGATTTCCATAGTGGCTGTACAAGTTTGCATTCCCACTAGCAATGGAGGAGTGTTCCCTTTGCTCCACATCCTTGCCAGCATGAGCTGTCACTTGTGTTATTGATTTTAGCCATTCTGACAGATGGATTCTCAAAGTAGTTTTTGATTTGCATATCCCTGATGGCTATGGATATTGAAAACTTCTTTAAATGTTTTTTTTTTTTTTTTTTTTTTTTTTTGCCACTTGAGATTCCTCTATTGAGAATTCTGTTTGGATCTACACCTCATTTTAAAATTGGATTATTTGGTGTATTTGATATCTGGTTTCTTGAGTTCTTTATGTATTTTGGATGTCAGCCTTCTGTCGGATGTGGAGTTGGTAAAAATCTTTTTCCATTCTGTAGGCTACTCCTTTGTCCTACTGATGATGTCCTTTGCCTTACAGAAGCTTTTCACTTTCATGAGGTCCCATTTATTAATTGATGTTCTAAGTGCCTGTGTTATCCGTGTTCTGTTCAGAATATCTTCTGTGCCAATGCTGTTGGGATCCTGCCCTCACTTCTCAGGGTCTGGCGTCTTATGTCATCAGTGAGTGCGGGCAACTACAAAGCTGCCTTAAAAAGCCGACATGGACCTCCACCCTCTCTCTCTCTGTGTTTTCTCTCTGCTCTCCCTCTGTTCCCACTCTGCTCCCTTCCCCTAGGCCTGGATCTCTCTCCCCCGCTTCCCTCCTAATAAAGCTCTAAAACCTAACATTGGATTCTGCCTTGGCTCATGACTTTACCGATGATAACCAGTGCCACCAACCAGTGCCGTTTAACTATCAAATGTGTTCAAGGCTATTCCCACTTTCTTTTCTATCTGGTTCAGTGTGTCTGGTTTTATGTTGAGGTCTTTGATTCACTTAGACTCGAGTTTCTGCAAGATGACAAATATGGATTTATTTATCTTCTTCTACATACAGATATCCAGTTTGACCAGCACCATTTCTTGAAGATGCTGTCTTTTTTCCATTGTGTATTTCTGGCTTCTTTATCAAAAGTCAGGTGTCCATTGGTATGTGACTTATGTCTGGGTCTTCAGTTTGATTCCATTGATCCACATGTCTGTTTTTGTGCTAATACCATGCAGTTTTTATTACTATAGCTCTGTAGGACAGCTTGAAGTCAGGGATGGTGATACCTCTAGCAGTCCTTTTATTGTTCAGGATTGTTTTAGCTATCCTTGTTTTTTTGTTTTCTTTTTTAAGAGTTGCCATGGTCATGGTGTCTCTTCACAGCAGTAGAAACTCTAACTAAGACACTTTATGATTCTCTGAATTTCTCTAGTGTCTGTTGTTATATTCTCGTTTTAATTTCTGATTTGTTAATTTGGATATTCAATCTCCATCTTTTAGTTAGTTTGGATAAGGGTTTGTCAATCTTGTTGATTTTCTCAAAGAACCAACTCTCTGTTTCATTGATTCTTTATATTGTTCTCTTTGTTTCTATTTTATTGATTTCTGCCCTCAGTTTGATTATTTCTTGCCATCTACTCCTATTGGTGAAATTATTAAGGCCACTCCACGTACTTAAAAGGGAGGTTTATTTTGTGGGGTAACTTACAAATGAAGGGATAGTTTACAGGGTCTGGGAAAGGTGTAGCACAGTCCGGCGGTGTTCTCTGGAGAACTCTGCTCGGTCTACCTCCATCGTCTAGGGTCCAGGAACCAAGAGAGCCGGCTCATCTGGATCTTGGGTCTTCAGGGTCTTCTCTCAGCCCTGCCTTGT